AAAAAAAAAAAAAAAAAAAAAAAAATCTAGAAGATAACATTGGAAAAACTCTTCTAGACATTGACATAGACAGAGCTCATGACCAAGAATTTAAAAGCAAATGCAACAAAAACAAAACTAAATAGATGAAACTTAACTAAAAACTTCTGTACAGAAAAAAAAAAAATCAGCAAACAGACAACCCACAGACTGAGAGAAAATATCTGAAAGCTATGCATCCAACAAAGGACTAATATCCAGAATCTACAAGGAACTTAAATGAATCAGCAAGAAAAAACAAATAATCCCATCCAATAGTGCACAAAGGATATGAATGGACAATTTTCCAAAGAAGATAGACAAACGGCCAATAAACAAATGAAAAAATGCTCAACATCACTAATTATCAGGGACATGCAAATCAAAACCACAATGAGATACCACCTTACTCCTACAACAATGGCCATAATTAAAAAATCAAAAATAACAGATGTTGGCATGAATGTAGTTAAAAGGGAATACTATTACACTGCTGTGGGAGTGTAAACTAGTACAACCACTGTATTAAACAGTATGGAGATTCCTTAAAGAACTAAAAGTAGAACTACCATTTGATCCAGCAATCCCATTACTGGGTACCTACCCAGAAGAAAATAAGTTATCAGATGAAAAAGACACTCACACACACATGTTTATACCAACACAATTAGCAACTACAAAAATATAAAACCAGTCTCAATGCCCATCAACCAATTCAACCAATGAGTGGATAAACAAAATGTGGTGTATATGTAGACCATGGACCATTCAACCATAAAAAGGGATGAAATAAAGGCATTCACAGCAACCTGGAGGGAGTTGGAGACCATTATTCTAAGTGAAGTAACTCAGGAATGAAAAATAAATATTGTTATGTTTTCACTTATAAGGCGGAGCTAAGCTATAAAACACAAAGACGTGAGAATGATACAATGGACTTTGAGGACTCCAGGGAAAGGAGAGAGGGCAGTGAGGGATAAACACTACACATTGGGTACAGCGTACCCTGTTCAGGTGATGGTTACACCAAAATCTCAGAAATACCACTAAGGAACTTTTCCATGAAACCAAACACCACCTGTTCCCCCAAGGCTATTGAAACAGAAAAAATAAAGAAGGGACACTGATCCTTTAAAAAAAAAAAAAAGAAAGAAAAAAAGATGGGAATGGAGCCATGTAAACAAAGAAGGAGATGGACTCTGCTGGCTCCTCTGCATCTGCCTTTCACTGCATCTGACCACATAGGCCATTTGGATGTAATGAGTGCATTTCATTTCCACCTTTTAAAGGTCATAGAGGTACTATTTTGACCAGTTCTAACCTGAAACCTCATAGGGTTCAAGATTCTGAAGAAAATTCTTTCACCT